GTTTCTATTCCCCCCCCCCCCCCCCCCCCCCCCACGAAGAACAATGACATGTCTCGCACAAGACCTCTGAACCACCATCGATCAGGCAATCTCGGCACCTCCATCCTCCAAAGCCTCTTGAACGCCCCTCCAGACTCCTTCTGCGGCATCACCCAATTCATCGCCTGCGTGTCAAGCGAATCCTCCGAAAGACGCCTCAAATTTGTCTTCCCGCGGTACGAAAACGTGCAAATCACGCGAGACGACAACGTATCCGCCGTCAAGAGCTCGCACGTGATCATCCTGGGCGTCGACCCGTCCCAAGTAGAAGCCACATTAAGCGAAATCGCGATTATAGAGGCATTGCGGGGAAAACTGCTCATCAGCATAGTAGCAGGCTGGACGCGCGATGCGATTGAAAGACTCATTGATGCGGAGTGGGAGGTTTGGGAGGGTATTCGGGATCAACATACGAGAGGAGCTTGGGTTCTACGTACACTACCGAATGTGGCGGCGCTTGTCTCGCAGTCTTTGACTGCTATTGAAGATCATCCTTCACCCACCTTCCCACCTCATTTCAAAGATATAGCAACAGCCATCTTCACGCAAATCGGCAAACCCATGTCCATACCAGCCGCCCTCATGCCCGCTACAACAGCCGTCTCAGGTTCCACACCCGCATTCTGGGCCATCATCGTCGACAGCCTCATCGACGCTGCCGTTGCTGTTGGGTTACCCCGCAAAGTAGCTCAGGAGCAGATCTACCAGAGTATGAGGGGCAGTGCGGAGATGCTTCAGAGTGGGATACAGCCGGGCGAGCTGAGGGATATGGGAACGAGTCCGGAGGGGTGTACGATTGCGGGGGTTATGGTGCTGGAGGAAGGTGGAGTGAGGGGTGTGTTGGGGAAGGCGTTGAGGGAAAGCGTTACGGTTGCTAGGGCTATGGGGAAAGCTGGGGAGAAGGGTGGGGAGGAGGTGCACGTTAATGATACTAGGAAGATCTGGTGAGGGTCATCCAATTTCAAGTTGAGGCATATGATACAAAGGCCTACAGTACAGTCAGCATAGACACTCAAAGCACGAGAAAGCAAACCACGCCACCACATCACATATACACAAAAAGTGAGGGAAGGTTCATAATCATCAACATCTGCTTACTACTCACTACCTACTCACTGGATATAAACCATACCACAGCACGTCAACCGTCGCCGTAGCGTAAACGTACATCCATCCCGACTAAAGGGGCGCATGTGCGTGCGAACACAAACTACGCCTGATCCTGTTGAACCCATGCTAATGCACCTGCCTGTGATCAAGGTATTTCCCCCACCTTTCGCTCAAACCGAGCTGTCCTTGAAAAGATATAAACGCCAGTTGGTAGTAAGGTTGAAAACGCCAAAAGTAACCCAAATAGGTATACCGGAGCTAAGTAGCAAATGAGATCTGTTGTGACGCCCAAAGGAGAATACACACGTGGTAGGTTCGGAGGTGGTGAAGGAAAATATACACGATAATGTAGAGTTTGACTGTGTGTGTGTGAAATACGAACAGTGAATAGTTGCGTTGATACTTCCTTCTCTTTCTTTGTTCTTTAGCCTTCTTTGGGCTTTCAATACTGTGATGACGATGTTGTCATGTTTAGAGGATGCCAGCCCACATGCCTGGGCCTTGTGGGCGGTAGGCTTGCGCGACCTCGGTGCTGCAGCACGACCTCTTCTTGCCAAAGTCCTTCTGAATAGGAAGACGCGAGCAATAAGGAACAGTGTTCTTAGGGGACTGCAGCCCTTTTGGTTCACTGCGCGAGAGGGCGAATGATTGCGACACTGATCTATCAGGAAGCACAGGCTTCTGACCACGAAGGTCGAATGCGGAGCGAGTGCTGTGAAGCAAGTGTCGCACATTCTGCTGGAGATCAACTGAAGACCTTCCACGCTTGCGGCTTGCGGGAGTGACGCACGCAGGGCTGTCGACCTTGCCTGGCGACGAATCCGAATCATCAATATGGAAGCTGTCCAGATCGGGTGAGGACATGGGCTCACTTGGAGCATACTCGTACTGCTCCTTGCACTTCGACAAAACCGGGTACGGGAGCTTCGCGCTGCGGCAGGTCGCCAACCGAGCCAAGCTGGCCTGGCTTTGGTTTGGCGCCCAGCCGGCAGACGAGACCGACGAGATTGATGAAGCACGAGAAGTGCGCGAGTTGTCCGAGATCATTGACTCTGGAGAGGACGATAGAGATGAGTTGGAAGGAGCCAGGGAAGGTCGTCGGCTTGGGAAGTGGTAAGCTTCCAGTCCGTTCCTGATGCTTGGGTTGAACTGGTCTACACAGGTGCGTGCCAGTGAGGAGCACTGTGCCTGTTGCATTGCCGTGCACATCGATGGGCGGCGCGATCCGAAAGCCATGGCACTCGCTGCAGGAGTGTTGCTGGTGATGGATTGCGGGGTCAAGGATGGGGTTGGTAGTGGACCCAAGCGAGCCAGGGATGGCAGTGACGGAGTGTGGGGAAGATCAGGCTTCGGCTCCAGGAAGCGAGGCACTTGATAGCGAGATGGAGTTGGTGTGCTCTCTTGCGATCCGTAGCCATCCATCGATGGGCAGCGGTAGGGCGACGCGTTCAGCTGAGGCCTCAGAGGAGGACGTACGGGAGCGTTTGCTGACTTCCTGGGAGCCAACTGGACGATATCCAACTCAGGTGTCAAAATAGGAATGACATCTTTCCAAGTGTTGGGGATGCTAGCGCCAGGTGATGGCGGAGGAAGGGTAGGCGTGTGTCGCAGGACGACTTCTTGCCACTTCTCCCATACCGAATCAACGATGTGCAGTTTCCAGTTGACAGCTTCGAGGAAAGCCATCTCATTGGTGTTGATTTCGCAAACCTTGAGACCAGAGATCTTGCTCCATGCGCGAGCCGAGTAGTTGCGGTCCTGTAGGTACTTGGATGCGAGGATAAGCGCAGCAAGGAACATGCGACGACCACATTGCAGCGCACGAAGAGATGCGTCTTCAGGCTGGGACATGGTGAAGTCGTGCTTGGGCAGGTGAGGCTTGATCAAAATCAAGTAGTACAAGGCAACTTGAAGAGTAGAATAGCTCGTGCGAGAGCGACGGAGGGTCTCCTGGATGAACATGCGGAGAGGAAGCACTCCACGTCCAGAAGCATTCTCACAACGGCTCTTGGGCTCTGAAAGTTGCCAGATGACCTCGACCATCTGAGTAGCGGAATCTTAAGGAGGAATAATCAGCGGGGGAACCATGGTCCAGGGATAAAACGTGTACTAACCGACGAGGCAATCGACGAAGTTGACCTTTCGGTCGGATTGCCGTACCAATTGAGGTGGGGGCTTCTGGTTGACAGTGGTCGACGATCGGCGAGGATTCTGTCGCTGCTCCAGAGGTGCCAACAGCTCAGTGCGCAGGGAAGGTAATCTCTCCTGTACAGGCTCCCGGCACACCGTAGACTGGTACTGAGGATATGTGCTAACTCGGCTGATGGGCTGGAAAGCTGACAAGCTCGCAGGGTCGACAATTGTCGGCGGTGCCACTTGGTTGCGACTCCATTCTTCTGAGTCCCAGTTTGAGTGAGACGATGTGGAGCTTGCGCTTGACGCTTGTGACGCAGCGTCTGAGAATACTGAGGAGGTGGAAGAGGAAGCGGAGGAAGAAAGAGGAGCGGCATAAGGGTGGGTCTCAGCCATGTAGCCGTGGCTAGGGAGAGGAATGGCAAGACTCATGGTGAAGGAGGGGTATACAGGACGGGGCCTGGTAAGGAAAGGTAGACAATAAAGAGTGAGCGGAGATGGGACTAGGCTTTGTCGTTACGTCTCGAAGTGCTGACCGTTAGGTAGACCTGGAGGGGTGGCGCAGAGCGTGATCGGGTGGTCGTGGGGTGACCGAGAACTTAACCGATGGGACAAACCGTAGAGGACAACCCTGTGACCTCTGACGTATAATTCGAGACGCTGTTCCCTTGTTGGGATCTTTTCCTCGATCGCGAAATCTCCTCCGTCAAGTGGCCTGATCGTGTGTGATCGTGGTGTGACGGAAGCGGTCTAACGGTCTGAAGAGCTGGGAGAGGGTAGGTTTCGAAGGCGGAACGTATACGTAGGAGGTTGGTAGGGTTTGACGAGTCGCAAGTGGAAGTAGGATTCGAGCAGTGTCAAGTGGTCGAAAAGCTGCCAGGTGCAGACTAGAGCGGGCTCCAGTCACTGTCAACTGCAGAATCACCGAAACAAGACCGTGATAGAAGACCGTCCGCGAAGCACTCTGATACAGCTACTGAACAGCGGGCGCTGTCGCAAGAGCTGGATGTCTGAGGGGATGCGGGGGTCTAGCAAGCGAAGCCTTGGGCGAAGGCTTTGGTTTCGGAAATGGTGGTGAATTCTGAGCGACGAGTGACTGAAGTAGTGTAGGCCGAATGGCACATTGTGGTGATGAGGTGCGACGTGGGAAGCGTTCGAGGATGGTGACTACCTTGACGGGATCACCAAGCTGAGCGACTTCGCGTGTTCGCGGGGAGTGCGATCGGGTGTTTGAGTGTTTGTTTGTTGCAGGTGTTTGTTTTATTATTATTGGGGGTTGGTGTACATAAGAGCTGTTGGTGGTGGAGTTGGGAGGTGTAGGTCTGACGTGTGAGGAAGTGGCGGTCGGGAAGTCGGTAAAGGTGGGAAGGCGCGACTAGAGGGCGTCGGATCGCGACGCAGGTACGGGACGAGGAGGTATAAAAGGACAGGCTCTCTCGTCTCGACGATGACTGGAAGCGCGAGATGAGTCTATGCGGTAGGCGGCAGTGTGGCGGCGACAAAGGTCGATGCGGAGACTGCTACCTGGACAAAGATGGAATGGGTCGGTTTGGGTAGGTAGACGGGTAGGCGACAGAGAACAGACGACACTATTCGCGGTTGGCGTCCTAGATTAGGCCGCAGGGGGCGCTGTAGATGTTCGTGAAGTCCATTGCTGCTGTCTTGATGAGGGTGACGGGCTGGGCGGCGCTGGCGATACTAATAGGAACCCCGTACCTACAGCGCCCCCAGTCCAGTCATCGCACCCGGGCGCACTGGCCAGCTTGCCTCTTTGCCACACAACCCAACCTTGGAAGACTCATCGCGCTGGCTTTTTTTTATTCGCCATCAGCCAGACATGGCAGTGCGTGATTTGCAGCTGCGTTGCTTGGGCAGCGACGTCGCTTTCTTGCCCCCACCGCACCGCTGTTGCGTGAAGCAGTTGCGGGTGCTCTACCCTCATCTCGTGAGGCGTGAGACGCTCCATCATTACGCATGGCTCCAAGGCTACAGGCATGCCAACACGGCCTGCCGCCATGCCTGGCGCAGCGGTAAATGGCCCTCTGTAACCCGCCCACTCCCTGCGCGCGCTGAGGCTGTTCACGCTGATTGCGACGCGACCAGCTGCTGCGACACACGGCGTCTCCTTTTCTTTCACACTAGGCGCGTTTGCTCTCGAACGCTCCGTGCCATGGTACGCTGGTAGCGCCAGAGTCCCAGACTGCCTGCTACACCCCCTCATTCTGCCTCTCAGCCATGTTGAGATGAAGGGACCGGCCGACTGGGAGCCAAGGACGCGTCTTCCCATTGCCTGCCGCGCCATTGGACGTGGAGGCGACGCCATGCCAGGAAGGGTCATTTTGTGCCTTCACCGTGCTTTTCGTGGCTATATTTGCGGCCGACCCCCTCGACGGCTGCTGCGACGCTCGTAATCTCAGCTGCTCAGCACGCGACGCCCTCGTTTGCAGCCTAGCCGGTCATCGCGGTGCCGTGATGCAGCAGCGATGCAAACACGGCAGGAAATGCCTCAGCGCAATCGCCATGGCACACAAACCCATCGCGATGACGCAAACGGCGCACGCAGCAATGAACTGCTGCCAACACATCGCCGCCTTGCGCTGCGACGGCCCAGCTCCACTCCCCTCACCGCAGTGGCTGATGACGCCGGGCCTCTGTCCCAAAGCGATGCCAAACGCGTGCATCCGTCTCTGGCCTCGGCTCTCTACATCCGCGACCATTCGACCGTGTCTCGCGGGCGCGCGATGACCATGGTTCGCGCCTCCCACGCTCACAGCAGAGTTTGCAGCTGCATGTTCATCGTCGCCCCTTCCAGAAGCGCCAAGCGCCCGGCGAGCTGACGACTCATCGGTGTTGCCCGCCCCCCATTAGCGCACCTCGGCTGCCGAGATGATCCGCCTTGGTTCAGGGCTGAGTCACGTCGACACACCAACGAGAGCCCTCTCACCATCTCCGCGCAGGCAGAAGAGACACTCGTCCTAGCGTGCCACAGACTAGATCCATAGCCTCACCCAACGGCGCAGATTTGCGCCATCCTGTGTGACCAACTTCCAAGTTTCTTGTACGAGTTACGAGGCACCTGACACCGTGTCTTCACCAGTCGCGTCGAGTAGCCTGGCGCGTAGCCACCGACTAGCATGAAACCATGATCACACGTCTTATTGATGATGATAAAGGGAGGTATGACTCACTGTTGCCTGCGGAAATCATCCTAAACAGAGGCCAGCCCAAGAGGGTTGGGCAGGCAACCGTGGGCGGCAGGAAGGCTGTGGCGGGACCGTTATGCCACTCCGATATCGACTTCCGAATATTCGAACATGAAGACACATATCTCCCGATAAGATAGCGGTGGTTCAGGAAGGGTACGCTCAGGGTCTACGATATCCAATTTCGGTGAATAATGACATACTGGAAAGCACGCATATAGTACAACCGGAGTATACCCAGATACATGTTGAGCTTGATGATTAGTGTTACCCACTGTACGCGTACGAACTATCGAAAAATGCTAGCCGGCTGGAGAAGACATCGATTCAAGTTGTACCCACAGTCGTTTTCGCCGTGCATGTAGCCCTCATCGTTCACGCAGCCAGACGTACTTGCGAAGAAGATCGAAATTAAAGAATGCACAGTCGCTCACTCCCGAAACGATGCTATGGCTTCACCTCTTCAGGCCGCTTCTATCTTCCCACGAGCTACCTGCGAGTTCTTGGTAGATATCCTTCGATCCTAGAAACTTCTCCTCTGCGTCGATGGTAACCTCTTCACCCTCCTTCAGCTCTCCAGACGCTTTCCTGGGACGTCTTTTCTGCGCCCGCAATATCGCAATTTCCGAGTCTGTCGGCTTCAGTGGCTTGCCTTCTCGCTCTCTCATCTTCCTATAGTCCCTCTTTGCTTCTCTTCGTAGACGACATGCCTCGAATCTCCACTCGTGCTTTAACGAGCTGCGAGGTCCGACTTTGCCTGCCGCCTTCGCATCTTCTAAGCAGCTGCGCAGCAACACCTCCAGCTCTTCTTTTGCATCCTTGTGCTGCTGATGCTTCAGTCTGATCGGAGGAAGATCAATGTCGTACTCTAGGAGTGCTTTCGGCGCCACCGCTAAGACCTTCTTCTTGTACTTTCGGGAGAGTTTCTGCACCCGCCTATGACCTTCAATTTTCGTGCGGTTTGGTACAAAATGCAGATCTACCTGCACATCTTTTACCATGAGCTTCTTTGCTGCCTGCTGTACCCTTTCTACGAGAGCTTCATCTCGTCCCCACGAGAGATCGCTGCTCTTTTCAAGGTTCGCAAGTACTTCTTGTGCATTCGAGAACACGATCAAGTGATCGATGTGGTCAGCCAGCGTCCCAGCAGCGCGGAAAGCTTCATAGATAGCAATGAGGCTAGCTTCAGTCCAAGAAGGGTGATGGCTCACGGTGATGTGTACTTCCCATCCTCCAGATAAGGGGCTGTGGTAGCCTATAGCTGCGGTGCATGGGCCGTCATGAAGGCGTTTACCTCCATTGCCATCGGCCCATACGACTAGTGTGCGAGGAGAGGGCGGCTGGATGTACGTATTGAGCGCAAATTTTGTGGAAGGGACGGCATCTTGAATATGGACCGCTCCGGGGAACGTATGTGCAGTCTTCTCCTGGGCAGCCGCGGGTTCAAAGGATTCGTGCTCATGCATCTTCGCTACGAGTTTGAGCGGGTTGACTGTGTTGATCGCGAGCTGCATAGTATGAGGGGTTAGAGTTTGCCGGGTTGTTTGGCTTCGACGAGGGATGAACAGATGCTCTGATGTCAAGGTTCGATCCTGGGAAGGCTCGCGAGTTTGGGTGGTACCAGACTTTTCTACCCAGGCAGCATTTCCTCTACATCTATATGGTCGATGATATCGAACCGCGGATCACGATAGAATTTACCACATCCAACGCGGCTTCCATTCAAGAGGGTTCATATTTGCAATCAATGCTTGGGATGCATAAAGGGGTACGTTCTTCAACTTTTAAGTCCTCGCACCACACACTTTCTTCGTCCCATCTGAGTCAGGATGGCATCACAGCGAACAGACATCGGACGTGAAGACAAATTCTTGTCGGAGCATCAACTTTATGAATTCCGCTTTCTCACCACAGTCTTATCCTGGACAAACAAGATTGAAAAGTCTACTGGCCACAACAAATTCAACAATCCAGCCTCGAAACATGCACCACTGTACAGGTTCACCACCAATCTAGCAGATTTGCTTGTCCGTCACTTGGAGATTGTTGCGGTAACAGCTTCGGACGAAAAGAACCTCCTCGCAGTATTTGACAACAGTGGGGAAGCAGAACTAGATCCCCAAGAAGATGAGGAGGTGAATGTTACCCAGAATCTGCAAGACTTCAACCGTGGTACAGATTCGGGAGACAAGAGAAAGCATCCACCCCTTAACATCAATTCCGCTTCGA